ATCACTACACAGCACTCCCTCAATTGAGCAACACGGTAAACTACTCATTGAGAAGAAAATGAACCTCAATAGAGAGAAAAGGGCAAAAGATCCTCACATTTTGAGCGAGTCTTGCGATCATTGCCGACAGTATGTAAATTAAGAATGGATAGAGAGTTACTGAGTCATCACTTCGTGCTTCTCTTCCCAAAGCTTAACAGCTGGATGGGTCTTGATAGCGTCGAAAACGCGCGTTATTTTGGTGTAGGGTGTAAATAAATCTTCTGGGAGACCGCCCACGAAGGGGAGATGGAGCAATTCGTAAATGCCGTAAAGTGCCTACATTGAAGACGAGCTAATTAACGAGATCGGAATACCGACTTACGAGATCCGCAATAGTCAATGCATCACCGGCGGTGTACTCATGATCTCCCATACGCTCCTCTATCTTGCTGAAGAAGAAGGGGAGCACCTTCTTGTATAGGTTCTGAGGGAAAGAGATGTTGTACAGACAATCATCTCATTCAGGTCGAGTCAGTAGACCTGATAAACCATCACTCACATTCTGAGCAGCGCCTCTCTCCTCTCCTTCTGGTGCCTTCATAACCATGAAGAAACTCGACTGGATGTCCTTGACAATATCCATCATCTCATCAACACGGAACCTTTGCTTGAGGTCAAGGGGATACAAGCCGGTAGAAGGATTGAGCTGAAAAAGGACAACGAATGGTCACTGCCGAATCGACAAGCCACGAGTCGGGACTTGACTAAACTGCGAACCTACTGCAGCAACATATCTCATAATGGCCTGATTCTGAGTGATCTGAGTGCCGTCCTCGAACTCGAGTACTGGCAACTGCCCAAGAGGGAACTTCCCAGAAGCCTTCAACGCAGGCCACTGATCCATCTGAATCCTCTCATCGACGAACTTCATACCTGTAACGACTCAGACTAAGGAAGACCAGTACCGAAATATAACGCTACCAGAAATGGCGAAGATGAGTCTGATAGGATCAGCCGGACCAGCTTCGAAGTAATAGAGCTTAAGAGCAACCATGGTTAACAAACGCTTATGAAGTAAGAATACTGAGGTGAAGCAAAGATGCTCATCGTTCTAAGAATCCAGCTTTTTTCTATATGGTCAACAACTGTTATGTTCAAGTTCGAGCATAGCTTGGGGAAGCTTTAGAGACACTATTCCTTGCAGGTTTATATCACAGTGTCCTGACACTTGTGTGCAGATGTCCCAGTGATAGGACTCAGCCGCGTGTCGTCGGGTATACCTCGTTGGTGACCATTTCAACTCGTGAACGCAACAGGAACAACTTGGAATGAAATAGTAAAAACGAATGGTAATAATTATGTAACAATAAACGGTGGTGCTGCTGCCCTTCTTCACCCAACAATAGAGCCGTGACCATCACTCCGACCAAAACAGTTTCACTCATCATTCCCACAAAAAGTCATAACACATTACCGACAACAACGCCAAGTAGCAGCACTAGAAGTAGATAACGAGTATACAATGGACGCGAGGTGGTCCAACACACTATAATGGATGATAACTACATTTGCTTGAACCACTTCTCATGGTGTACAACTGCTGAGTCGATGATACAAACGCTACCATATGATGTAGAAACACAGGGGAGGCGGAGTACCATAAGCAGGGGGTTATGATTATATATTAACACTAATCTGCGAAGCTGGAATGGGCTCAACATCGACCTGCAACAGACGAAGTGAAGATCATCGACTCAATTGGTGTATCAGAAGGTGGTACCCGGGGGCTGAGCTTCTTTGAGATGTCCTCGAGAGCTTGAGCACCAGTCCTCGACTATATAAGACTTTTAACGTCCTCCTCCTCTGAGACCAGTTTCCAAGTCGTTGTTGCTCTCACTGATAACAGACGTGAAGTCATCTCCTTGGTCACCAGAATCGCGGGGAGTATCAGTCGATCGTGACGCTTTATTGTCACCATTTCGACTTTCTCTCTGCCGAGTCCTCCTCTCCAACCGCCTCTTCTCAGCTCTCTGCCTTTTCTTGCGAGTCCACCACTTGCTCAGTCTCAAGTAAGGTGGGTCGGGGAAAGTGTGATCCAAGTCACTAGGACTTGTCCTCACCGAGACCGACGTCAGTCGGAAAGAACGTCTTCTTTCGAGCTCAGCATCATTAGCCGGCTCAGCTGCTGCCGACTCTTCCCGACCGCTCTCTTCGATCGAGCGGGTCGACTCCCCCTTGTGATAGTGATGGTGATGATGTTCCTTCCTGGGCTCTATGACGAACCCGCCGAGATCAGCTCCTTCCTCCCGACGAATTTCCGCTGCAGCATCAACAGTCATTGCCGACATAATTCTGGTGAGAGTACGCTGCCTCGTGACGCTGGTCCCACCAGGACTCCTCGAGCCACTTAGTGAAGGTGGAGGTGGTGGGGCGGCTGGGTCATCATTATCATACGTTACTAAAGTCGGACCGCAGCCTTCTGAGATCGACTTGGACCGTATAGTGGAAGTCCTACGTCTCGCTGGTGGGGATAGACTCGAAGTATGATAAGTAAACTCGCCATCAGCGGCAACAGTAGCGTCAGAACCCATCCTACCGACTCGCTTCGGGGGGAGCACAGGGTGCCGCGGGACAGGAGACAGGTTGCCTCCGTGTTGAGGGAGGCTTAGGTTGTTGCCACTAACAGGAGTGCCGGGAATACTCACTGTACTGAGACCTGCCTCACTGCGAGTGACTAGATTCTGACTACTAACAATAGAGCTTCGTCGTCTTGCAGCTGCCTCCTGATCATCCTCACTGGTCCTCGGACTAAGGAGGAACACTCCAAAGAAGAGGACTCCAGTACCGCTGAAGAATACACCCAACTGCCACGATTGCATAGCCACAAATTCTTTGAATACAATACCGCCAGATAACATGGTAGAGAGGGTCCAACAAACTTGTGTTAGTGGTACCAGGAATGCTCCCGGGAATATTCTCAGCGCTCGGTTGAGATGAATTACCCAGAAAACAGCCGCGAAAAGCCATGCGAAGAGCACTAGGAATGTTCTACCCTGGTACAGCTGTGAAACTTGGCCACCGAAAGCCTGGGTCACTATGAGTGATAGCACTTTGCCCGACACCACGGACTGGGCCCCTACTGCTGCTACACAAAAGGTGTACCCGCTGGGGACTAGGAAGCGGGTAACTCTATTGTGGGATCTTGGCAAGGAGAGCTCCCACTGTATCCTCTTGGGCCATTTGGAACGAGTAAACCACAGAATGGGAGCACCAGTCCTCATCCAAAAGGCAAAAGCAATGAAGCATATAAGCAGCAACAATCCCAGCACAAAGTAGCCGTGAGTCGCCGAAAAGTAGAAATCGTTGAACATTTGGTCAACGTTGTTGATGGCCTCAGACTTGGTCGAGGATACCACCAGCATGACTATTGCTCCAATGATAACCACTGTACCGCAAACGTTGAAGACGGTGAAGGGTTCTTGGAGGAAGTAGTGCACGAAGAAGAGATTGGACACGAACTGAATCGCAGAAATACCACTCAACAAGGACTGAGGGGCAAATGCAAAGGACCCGAAGGTCAGAACGGAGCCTATGCAAAAGAGGATCAGCCCTATTATGAGGGAGTGCCCTTTGCCGTGCTTCACGGCTGTATGGTACTTCATGAGAACAGTACCGAAATTAGTGGTAATAGCACCAACAATGTTAACCACAATGCCGATGACGAACCGAGAAGTGGACATCGGGTCTTATTGGAACTTGGGGAGTGGTCGGACCAGCAACGTGGATGGAAAGTACTCAACTACAACTGCTGAAAAACAAATCACGCTCAACGCGGCAACAATTTGGCCCATAACTCCTTATATTTTGCCCTCAGTGTTTTCGTCATGTCCACGTAACTACGTCGAGACTACCTCCTCTCCGAGAGAGGGAAAGAGAATTGGTGTATTCACAGCCATTGCGTTCCCTAGCACTATGGAAATTGCTACCCTTCCCATGGTCATGACGTTACTACCGTCTACACTGTATGGTCGGGCTACTCTTCAACCTAGGATCGTCATAAAGCTCCACCCTATGCTGTATAATAACGATGACCAGCCAATAATGGTGCGGTACGACGAGCACAGGTACACCGCACAGGCCGGGCACTTCAGGGCTCAGCTTCACGCAACACGAACAACAACACGCAAGGATGGTCGATTGTTGTGGCGAGCGCTCTCGCCAAGGGACAGAGAGACAGTTGAGCGGAGGTGGTGCGGTATACCCTATGTGCTCGGAGCATGGAGATATCGATGCCACCTCCTCGACACTAGTTCCAATACATTATGCTGAGTCTCGAATTTTCCCTGGCAGCGTGAGTCACCGACACTTGACCAACTTCCCGCGCGATTAAGCAGCACACTGATGTGACACGTCAAAATGTCACACTCGGAGTGAGTGAGACGATATGGTATATCCTATGCGCTTGGAATGCTCGAATTGGGATGCCATCGATGAGATGCCACTCTCACTGGGTCACGCTGAATCTCGAAATCGACCTAACAATCAGAATCTCCTACGGTAAACAAATGTAGGGTATACGCACTCGTATGACACGATGAATATACTGTGTTTCGCGCTCGCCATAATAATGTGTCCGGGACACAGTGTCCCCTAGCTCAATACCGTTGTCCCATTCTTAGCTATTTATACGTTTAACAAGGTTGATGAGAAACTGTCATATAATCAACATATGTGGGGAGGACCAGATCGTGTGGCTCCTAACTTAGGAGTCTTAGGAGTCCTAAGACTCAGTTGCACACGTAGGCAACAACACAGAAAGATTATCGACTGTTATGGCGAGCGCACATGCCGGGGGACAGAGAAGTGGTTAAGCTCTATCTATTACTGCCCCTTGGTTGTGTTCTATCGACAAGTTGCTCGAGAAGTTGCTATATCATCGTATTGGTACACGACATCCTTTGGAATTTGGATGCAATCGATGGGGTCCAAATTTTTGGTTGTAGCCTGTACAGTAGATAAATGTAGGAGGACACACGCACTCGTATTGTCGCGGCACCGAATGATCTGTTATTATTATCGGGCGTGCGCGAAATGCTCCAGTGAGTAACGGCAGGCAGGAAGGCCAGAGGATAGATATATGAGGCTGAGATTAGGTGTTTGAGTTATCATTGTTGCTAATTAAATTGATATTATGAGCATGTGAGATAACTCCGTAGCCATCTGGCTCAAGTCTGTATTTTTACTCTCCATTTTCACATGAGTACTAGTCGCGTTGAGGAACCGTCCAAACCAACCGAGTCGGCCGACCGTAACATGGTGACAGCTGGTGGCGGTTCGACGCTCAAGATGGACGACGCGGATAGCAAATCCGAAGCGGCTAGCAGTACCATGGGAGCACTCTTAAAGGATGAAGAGTCCTACAAGAAAGAGCTCACGAAAAGGAGAGTCCTACGAGGCAGATTGAGAGGCAAAATTCAGAAGGTCCAAGCGGCGATGGAATGCATCATCGTACCAGAGGACCAGGAAACCACTGAAGAGCTGGCGACATTAGAGATACAGGAGAGTCTTCTGCACGATCAACTTCGGAGAGCAGAGAAAGATATCGCAGAGTTACAGGAGCTGAGACAAGGAGTGGTGTCCGAATTGGGGAAGGAAGAGCACCGCTCTAGGGCATCGCGATCGGTTTTTTCTTATGACGCTCGTGATGGTACTTCTACTTCGGAGGTCTACTTACCTACGGTATCAGGAAAGGAGAAGTTTCATCAGTCCGAAGACGAGATCAAACCAAGAACTGAGAATGCGGACCACAAGGACAACTGCGGAACGAGAGACTCAAGGACAGTCCCAGGTAGGGGGGAAACTCGCCGCGCTAGCGTAGTAGTCGCGAATGCATCTCCAAGATTGTTAGCTGAAATGCCAGTGCCACAGAGTCTCACAAATGAGGGTAGGGATTATGGTGTGTCGAGCCAGAGGGGATATGTGCGACGGGAACCCAGAGTAGGGATCAATACACAGGGGGTTTCGAAGTTAGCATTGCCACAGTGTGAGGATATCCTTGATCTAGATTCTCATTTTGAGGTTGTTGAGGGAATTTTACAAGAATCTGGGGCTGGTAGCTATTCAAAGGGCACTGATGCACGGTTACTGTTCAAAGTACGTGATGATATCCGGATTCCGGATGGCATGTGTGGGAAAACTACTTACCACTCTTCCGTCGGGAGCAGTGAGGGACTGTGCGAAAAGAGCGGCTCAGAGATCCAAGTATTGTTGGGAGAGAATCAAAGATCAGCTACGTTGTCGATTTTGTAAGAGAACGGCGATAATTGGGAACATCCGAGAGTCACTAGCAAAGCTCAGCTATGGGGGTCCTGGTAAAGTAGATCAGTTCTTGGACTCGGCTGAGACGATTGTACTTCGGTGTCATAAGGCGTATAAGGATAAGAGTGAGATGTTCAGGGTGGTCAGAGCGATAGTGAATACCTTGCCAAGTGGAGTAGCGGAGAAAGTGATCTCGGAAGTGAAGAGGGAGGCGAGGTCACAGCGTGGCTCTTACAGAGACGTCAGTGAGGAGGATTGGGAGACACTTTTACCTTTCTCTCTGGAGGTGGGAGATGTGATTACGGACGGTATCACAGTGGTGGACATCATCAGAGATGTCAGCAGGACCTCTGAGGACACCACCAGGAGAGAGACGGACAAGGTGGCGCTAATAGCTCAGCCGACGAGTCAGCAGGGGGTTGGGATGGCGGTATCACAAGGATCGGGTAGTGCAACTTCTCCACATCCCCCAAAGCAGTCACTGGAGTCATGGGCAAAAGGTTTCAAAGCTTCGTTCGTTGTCACAGTCAAGGAGTGGAACGAACAGGAGATAAAGAAGACTTTCCAACCAGATGACTGGAGACCTTTGCGTAGTAGAGGAAAAGGCCAGGGGCAGAAAGTCGGAAAGGTGGTTGGGGCAGTCGTGGGATATAGCGATGAGGTGACCTTATTGAGGTCAAGGGCAAGGCGTTGATGGCCAAAGTCGCAGGGGATGACCAACTGAAGCAGAAGTTCAGGGTAAGACCTTTTGTTTTCAAAAGCCAGGGAAACGGGGAGGGCCGAATGTGATTCGTGGATATCGCGTTGCGGCCTTAGATTCATCTTGCTCCACATTAGATAAAGGAGGTAGCCAAGGGGAAGGCTTTCCTGCTCTAGATAAGATAGAGGAGGAGGAAAAGATAGTAGTAGAAGAAGTAGTCAGGGAAGAGCTGGATGATAAAGTGTGCTTGATCTACTTAGAGGTTCCAGTAGAGTTACAGGTCAGAACCGATATAGTGAGTGCAGTAGATCCGAAGTATAGAATTTTGGGAGTGAAAGGGACGATAGACCCAGGAGCGGGACGCACATACTTATGTTTACCGAAGGATAGAAGAGCGAGGCGAGATTGCATACCAACTACTAAGGTGGCGAAGTGGGCTAAGCTGGCGGATGGGAGCCGCACAGCTATCACCCAGGAGGCCGAAGTATACCTTACCTTATGGCTCGAAGGGGAGACAATCACTGCTGGACCTCATATAGTCCGAGTGTTGTACTCAGAGCAGATAGAGGACGAGGTCGGTCTGCTAATAGGCAGGGATATTGGCAGCAGAGTGGGATTGCAGTTGGACCTAGCAACGGGAACGGTGTCTCGATCGAAGAGAACCATCAGCATGGATGGAGAAAAATTGGTGGATGATTGTGCAGCAGATACCATTGATGTGGTGAGGTACGTGCAGGACAATGTGATAAGATATCTTGATACTCCGGGAAAAGGACAAGGAGTAGGAACTCAACCATCACCTCAGGGAGAGGGTAAGATTATTTTTCCAGTGCTTCCACCACAGGAACGGGAAGTCGCCAGAGTTGCTGTGTCGACGCTTGTGGGAAAAGGGGACCTGGAGGATGAGGGCCTTCGAGAATACAGAGTGTCTTTCAGGAAGTTGAGGGGAGACAGCCGGGCAGACTGCGAAGGGCAGGAAGCGGCGGTGTATATAGATCTCCCGAAGAGAGACGATAAGGCGATGAGAGAACTTCGTGTACCCAGATATGAGAGGGCTGCGTACAATAAGCTCTCAGGGACTCATCAACGGGTGTACCAGGATCTGGTTCAATAGTTTGTAGCGAGAGGGTGGTGGATAAGGAGATCGGAGCTGAAAAGCGAGGAGCACTCTCAAGAGAGGGAATGCCTGCCAGCATCTCCCATCTTTCTCACACAGCTAGAAAAGAAACCACGACTTGTCTTGGATTGTAGAGGAGTCAATGCGAGTCTGGGAGGAGTATCATCGTCACGACGGGCAACGTCAGATATACTCATTGCGGTGCGACTCAACGGTGAGGATATGATTGTTGCAGATCTCCAAAAGGCATATTATAGATGCAGGCTCTTAGCGCACTGGGTGTTGCTTGCCACCGCGATAGGGGAGTTTGTGTCGGATAGAGTGGCCTTCGGGCTGCATTTTGGAGCTGGTTGTCTCCAGGGGGCCGTCAAGGAGATAGTGGCGACGATGTTGGAGTTGATGAGAGAACTTTCATGGGGCCAAAGATTTGTATTCTTGTTCATTCTCTTCTACATGGATGACATTGTCATTCAAGGTGGAGGAGTGGAGGGGATCGTCAGGGCGTTTTCCCTTCTGTTTACGATTCTGAGGTACCTGGGATTCGTGGCACAGTGTGACAAGTTGTGGGCGGTAGTCAGGCCAGGAAACGGGGAACAGTTCCGACAGTATTGCGAGAGATATAGCATCTCTATTCCTTTGAGTGCGGAGGGCACTTTATTAGGGGTGGGGATCTGTCTGGAAGATGAAAGGATGCTGATTGACTGCAAACTGACGCAGAGGTGGTCGACAGTAAGAGAGTTTCTGAAATCCTCCACTTGGACAAAAAGTGGTACATTTGCGTGTGCGGGAGCGTTGGCTCATGATAGTGTCCAAGGGCATCCAACACTCAGGCTTTTAGGGGATGTATTACGGGCCATAGTGGGGAAGAGTTTTAGTAGCCTTCCGTGGGATAGGGAGTTCACATTGCAGGACATGAGCGAGGGAGTTCGAATGGTTTTCGAAGAGACTAGGAAATGGGTGGCAGAGAAAGAGCCGTCCCTAAGCTGTATGCATATATCATCTCTCCAGGGGGGAGAAGAAAATATGTTTTTGGTTCTGGAGACCGACTAATCATTATTAGGGTGGGGGTTCAGCCTGTGGGCGACCAGACAGGAGGGAATCTTTGAGTACCTTTCGGATAGTAAGGGAAGTTGTTTTGAGATTTTGGCATCCGCAGGGAGGTGAACCAATAGAGAAGCGGTGTGGCACTCGAATAGGCGAGAGTTGAGAGCGATGTTCGAAGGGGTGAGTCGAACAGCGAGATTTCTGGGATATTGGAGAGGCTCACACCATAGACTCGGCACACAAGGCACGTGTAAGCTCTCAATCAAAGGTGATAATTTCGCTTCGATCCGCTGGTGCAATGAGAATCCCCCTTGCAAGGCACTGGAATTGAGATCGATCGTTAGGCTCGCTGATGCAATAAAAGAGGAAATCAGTTTCATAAGAAATAATTGTGACGTGGTTGTTGAGATCGAACATCTCCAAGGCTGTCGAAATACTAGAGCGGATGAGTTGTCTCGTCTACTACAGAGGAAATGTGCTAATGGCGTTCAGATAGGAAGAGCTCTACAGGAGTATCTAGATGAACCTCTCAGCGTGGCGCAGGCAGTGGATGATATCGTGGGCAGACTAGGTGAACTACCCAGCTCTGCCGACCGATTGTGTTATGTTCCGGAGGAAACATCATCGCACGGTCGGAGAGGAGGGGAATGTCCGAGTCTTGCGGATGAGTTGGCGCTGGTATCGTACGATGTCGATGCGGCTCTCCAAGTATGGAAAGCCCTACGTTTCTCCTTCATCTTGTGGAGAAGAGCGGTTGCGGGGTATCCACTCTCAGATGTGCAGTATCCAGTGGCATATCAGGAAGAAGACAAGATATCTTTTTCGAGATCGCTGCAGCTGGGATGGGCAGATGGAATGGATGCCAAGGCACTCCGATCATTGGTATGCATAAGGATTGATGATGATGGCATAGCACGCTATCTGATTAATGGCGCAGATGGGGCTACCAGTTGGGCGTTTTATGTACCAAAGATGAGGATGGGTTTCAGGCGATTACTCATTCGTAGTGCTCACAGGAAGCTGCGGCATGCGAGCCGGAATGCCAGTGTAGAGAGAGCGATAGAGTTTGGTTTCTTCGCACCGTCATTGAAGCGACTTGCGAATGATGAGCTTGCAGTATGTGTTACTTGTCAGCTCAAGAATGCCAAGCGGGAGTGGAGAATATCGCCGGGGCTCTCAGGGGCGGGTATCTCGGATCTTTCACCAGAGAATCTATTGAGAGCAGGTAAGGAACCCTTTTATGCTGTGTCGGTGGATGCCATTACGTTGGGATCGGGTCTGCTCTATCTGTCTGTGGTCTGCCTCATGACATATAGCGTGGTGTGGATCACCATACCAGATCAGACTTCCTCAAGTATTGCGGCAGCGATCAGAAGGGCTCAGAGGAGAGAAGGCGGATTCGCAGTGGTGGTAGCCGATAATGCGATTGCCAGGGATTCAGTGGCAAGGGATCCTGAATTAGCGGGATGGAACATTCATTTC